TGTGGCCCTGCAATGTCTACTTGACTGTCGATGGTACGCAACGACATGCCGGTCGAACTATCGACCCCCTTCAATGTTGTCTCTTCCGCCTCTTCATTGTGTCCCGATTCGCTAGAGTTGGTGCTGCCCTCCCATGTCTGCTGCGTATCCATCAATTTCTGGAGCTGGTACATGTACTCCAGATTGGTCCTGCAATCCAGCGAGCAAAATCGACCTGCAGCGTTACTAAGAGATGAGAGAGACGTGAAGAAAAGGCACTCGCAGTTGGCGCAGTGTGTCTGTCGCTGACGCCATTGGGCTCGACCAGAATCTCCCTCAGCATATCCTCGCCGTGCTATTCGCTTCACTTTCGTCTGCCCGGAAGTTGGTGGAGCAGATGATACGCATCGACCAGGTTCATTGTGGTGTTCGATGTCGTTGCTGGACGGGCAGCTTGCAGTTCCGTGAGCCGACCTCAGAATGCATTCCACTTTTCCTGACCAAGACTTGGGTTGCTGGTTGGGTGCACGCCTCCCTCTGTGATAGATGAACTGGATCATGCGCGACTTAAATCTCGTGGACGTGGCCACAGCTTCTTGCGTCTGATGCATCACAGACTCTCGACGCATCAACTTCGGATGGTAGTCCTCTCGAATGCGTGCTGCACTCGTCACAACGTGGATGCTGCTTGACGGCATATTCAAAAATGATCAATACCAGCGTTGCAGCGTTCGGATGATTGATTTTGCTTGTGGCCTCAAGTCATGCGAACATGTCGACATGCCTGGACTTCCTCGCTTTCTAATGGCAGTTCGTGACAAGGTCATGAAAGGGATTTGAAATCAAAATCTGGTCTCTAAACAATGGATCGAGCTTAATGGCTCTACTGTAAATCCATGGACTTGGACACTACACAAAGTGCTTCGCGACGAGAGCAACGCGCGCATGGATACGCGGTGTACCTCGAATGCTTGATGCTGAGGGACCATGAGAACGCAAGCACAAGTGTTCGAATCGTCATCGTGGAGGAAGAATAAGCAATAGCTGACTCATTTGGAGAGGGTTGTGGGACGACTTCTCTGCTTGAACTAGCTATGGGACGTGATGAAACACGAAATCGAGAGTTTTGTAAACAAAGCCACCTCAGTCATCATTAATGAATACTCAAACATTGCTTCGATTTACAAGTGGTTACAACATGAGAGAAACTCGGCACCGGATCAATTCGGGTTCGGATGGTAATACGCGCTCGATGACGATGGGTACAACTGACGAAATGGTAACGAGCCAAACGTAACGCAGCTGAATCAGTGAGACTATCGTTGGCGCCATGATTCTTGGTTTGAGTGCATTGGCTTTACACGCATCACCTATGCCTTCTGATGACATACAATCAGAGGCGTTTACACTGATGGTGTATTGTGGTGGGGTTGACAGGGGTTTCAATGGTCTTTGTCCGCATTTCAACCTCTGCTTTTGATGGTAGATATCCTAGCAAGAACAGTGCTTATGGGCGGAAAGAGCATCTCACTGCAGTACTTCCAGCACGCCAAGTGTTGTCTTCATGTATTCATTGCATGTGGCGTTGACTGTAGCGCTAATAGTGACAACACGTTGTGTAAGAACAGGCCGTCCTCGTAGCTGTGTGGATTGTATTCGTGGGCATGCTTCAGCCAAATAGACTATTCGACACCACATTTGTATTTGCCACTTAACTCATCAGTAAGCGCAATCTTGTTTTGGACCCCGCGCTACTCGCTCTTGACAGCCATTGATGTGACAGCGTTGCGTGGTAAAAACTGTGACCAATCACCGCAACATGGAACAGGGCCAGTGCCGTGACCGAAACAAGATGTACTATGAGCGGGACCACCGTGACGTGGTAGAGTATCGTTTCACTTCAGCATAGATGACTTGAGTCTTGAATCTGGCTTCATGATGTCAATAGGATGTCTTCAACAGTAGACGGTTTGAGGATAAACCGGGAACAGGCGGACGTATGTATGTGCTCTGTCGCTGATAGTTCATGCAAGAGAAAACCCCAGCTGTCGAAGAACGATCCGAGTGAATGCACTGGATGGAGCTCCTCTTACGTCCGCATCAAGATTCGTACCTTGCCGTTTCCAGTTCAATCGGAGACTTGAACTGAGGATGTGTGTAAGCATTTTTGGCAGGTCCAAATGAAATGAGCTACTTCCAATGTATCGCATGGCGCTAGAGCGAGGAGCAATCGACCAGCGCTTTACGATGACACCATCTTCTCTGATGTCCTATGATGACTAACCCGAAGTTGAGGTACCTGTGAGCAACTGCGCTAGCGTTTGAGCTACGACAGAAATTTGGGTGTCCTTACATCCCTTCGCTTTCCTGCTCGAATTTTTGTTCATGGTGGCGACGTACCAGCTTCCATCACCGTGGTTTGTCGTTCGCAATGGTTTCCTTTGATTAAGGCTACAACGATACTATCGCTACAGCCGTTCTGCCAACTGTAAGAAGCAACACCTCTTTTCGGTTGATCTCAAATACGATGGCTAGAACGGTCATGTGAGGCATACACCAAAGTACCAGCCTCAATCATGTTCGATCGCGCACCAAGCGCGTAGATGGAATGTACAGGCGCTGATGGTGATCCTGATCGTTGGCCGGAGATCTGGACGCCACTCTCATGCCTTGGACGTGGGTACAGTTGTTGTACATTCGTGTGGCGCTTTGTTTCGGAGACGTCGGGCATGTTGCGTCGTCGCTGGTGGTGTACTACGACTGTGTTTCACGTTGGACGGTTACAAACTGACGATAAGGGCCACCCGCGAGAGATGTAGGATATGTGAAGTGTTGAAAGCCAGTAGTTTGGCGCATCAGCAGGTGTGAGACTGTTCTCTCCAACACGTGTTTCCAGCTGCTCCGCTCCGACTTCGTGATTTCTTCCTGCGATACTAGCCACGTTATGGAGGTGCGCAAACAGCACGAAGCAAAGTGACGGAAGATACGAGGAAGTAGCGGAAAGGTTGTAGAGAATATCAGAGTACGACATCGAATGGTATGCGCTTGGTAGCATCGGCGTCAGTCCTAGTTTTGGTTCGTCATCGGTGCAAAATACTCCAACATTTGCACGATGTGTTTCGATGGATTTTTGATCGATGCCGATCGATACGCGCGCGTGCTGATGCTGTAGTCACGATTTTGTTTGGCAGCGATTGCCGTTCCGCCGCAACCACTCTTTCGACTGGTAAATTGCTGAAGGACGAGTGACCAACAATTCCGTATTTGTTGTATCGTCTGCTCCGGTTGTTGACGAAGTGTGCTGAAAGTCGCGTCTGGCAGGCGTAAAGAGTCAAGTGTGATACTATTGTTCATCTCCGTAGTCTCTACACTCACCGTCTTATATGCGTCGTGACGAAGGGCGGCGCCATACTCTCGTGTTTGACTCTTTCACTCTCATCATGTACAGTTATTCAGAGAGATCGTCAAGGCTCACTTCGAGTAGTCGTGTCACTCATAAATAATGCTCTTCATGTTCTTACTCCATCATGCTTCAAGTCTAGTGTTTACTACGGTGTCCTGTGACCCTGCAATGTCTACTTGACTGTCGATGGTACGCGACGACCTGACGGTCGAACTATCGATCCTCTTCAATGTTGTCTCTTCCGCCTCTTCATTGTGTCCCGATTCGCTATAGTCGCTGCTGCCCTCCCATGTCTGCTGCGTATCCATCAATTTCTGGAGCTGGTACATGTACTCCAGATTGGTCCTGCAATCCAGCGAGCAAAATCGACCTGCAGCGGTACTGAGCGATGAGAGAGACGTGAAGAAAAGGCACTCGCAGTTGGCGCAGTGTGTCTGTCGCTGACGCCATTGGGCTCGACCAGAATCTCCGTCAGCATATCCTCGCCGTGCTTTTCGCTTCACTTGCGTCTGCCCGGAAGTTGTTGGAACGGGTGATACGCATCGTCCAGGTTCGTTGTGGAGTTCGATGTCGTTGCTGGACGGGCAGCTTGCAGTCCCGTGAGCCGACCTCAGAATGCATTCCTCTTTTCCTGACCACGACTTGGGTTGCTGGTTGGGTGCACGCCTCCCTCTGTGAAAGATGAACTGGATCATGCGCGACTTAAAACTCGTGGACGTGGCCACAGCTTCTTGCGTCTGATGCATCACAGACTCTCGACGCATCAACTTCGGATGGTAGTCCTCTCGATTGCGTGCTGCACTTGCCAGACCGTGGATGCTGCTTGACGGCATATTCAAAAATGATCAGTACCAGCGTTGCCGCGTTCAGATGATTTATTTTGCTCGTGGCCTCATGTCATGCGAACATGCCGACATGCCTGGACTTCCTCGCTTTCTAATGGCAAGACGTGACAAGGTCATGAAAGGGATTTGAAATCAAAATCTGGTCTCTAAACAATGGATCGAGCTTAATGGCTCTACTGTAAATCCATGGACTTGGACACTACACAAAGTGCTTCGCGACGAGAGCAACGCGCGCATGGATACGCGGTGTACCTCGAATGCTTGATGCTGAGGGACCATGAGAACGCAAGCACAAGTGTTCGAATCGTCATCGTGGAGGAAGAATAAGCAATAGCTGACTCATTTGGAGAGGGTTGTGGGACGACTTCTCTGCTTGAACTAGCTATGGGACGTGATGAAACACGAAATCGAGAGTTTTGTAAACAAAGCCACCTCAGTCATCATTAATGACTGCTCAAACATTGCTTCGATTTACAAGTGGGTTACAACATGAGAGAAACTCGGCACCGGATCGATTCGGGATCGGATGGTAATACTGTTGGGGTAATTGGATGTAAAAGCCGAAGTGAATATATTTAAGGTCCTTAGTTCACTACCCTTAGCTAAGTCTAAGCCTTAATGTAACGACATCCTGTGATCTCATCATGTAACCGCGATCCATAACCTTCTTCCGTAATAACCACCATGAAACACCCTGACACAGAAATCATCACCATGAACCCAACATGAAACGACTGCACGAAGCGGCGTATTCTCAACACTCCCACTCGCCGCTACTGCTTGGTTTCTTTGCACTGGATACTGTTTGCATCGCGCAGGAACTTGAACGTCTTGGATCCTAGCGCCTTGGTCAGTATGTCGGCCAATTGATGTTTGGTGTCCACATACGCTACCGCAACCGTCCCGTCTTCAATCGTCTCTCTGATGAAGTGATGACGGATGTCCACATGCTTGGTCCGAGCATGATAACCAGCGTTTTGGGCCAAAGCAATCGCTCCTTGATTGTCCTCCCATATCTGGGTAGCGTTCATTTGTACCATTCCCATGTCCGTCAGTATCGCACGCGTCCATAGCACTTCCTGAACGCATAGGCTTAAAGCCATATACTCAGCTTCCGCTGAGCTGAGGGCAACCGTTCGTTGGAACTTAGATTTGAACACCACCGGAGCGTTCCCAATCATGATCATAACCCCCGAGACAGAACGCCTGTCGTCGAGGTTGGAACCCCAGTCCGCATCCGAGTAGGCTTCAGCTGTGACGCTGCCAGTACCACCTTTGTAGATGATCCCGTGCTGGCGAGTCGTCTTTAAGTAGCGTAGAACACGTATAGCAGCGTTCCAATGCTGCGCCCCGGGATTCTCCAGGAAACGAGAAAGTTGCGTTACCACGAATGAAATGTCCGGGCGAGTACACGTCGTGATATACAGTAGGCATCCAATTAAGGAGCGGTACGGTCTCGATTGCATCTTTCTTCGCTCTTCATCCGTTGCTGGCGATTGCGACTTTGACAACTTAAGACCAGTTGCACACGGGTTGTCAACCGACTTAGCGTTCTCTTGCCCGAACCGTTTCGCCACATCATCGATGTATCGCGTTTGCTTAATCATAAGCGTTCCAGCAGTCATGTTATGGTCGATCTCCATTCCCAGGATAAATTTCGCCGGTCCAAGCTCCTTCATCTTAAAGACACTCTTGAGTGCGTTTTTCACGTCATCAATTTCATCACTAGTCTTCGCCGCAATGATCATATCATCTACGTAAAGACAGACGTAAATGAAATTGCTCTTGGAACGCTTGACATAGACGCACTGGTCCGCACCACAGCTCTTGAATCCGTACCCAAGAAATACCCGATGAATGGTCTTGTTCCAGGCACTTGCAGCTTGCTTCAGTCCATAGATGGCCTTGTTCAGCTGGCACACATAGTTCTGAGCGTTCTCAACGCCAATTGGTACCTCCATGTAGACACGGTCCTCCAACTCACTGTTGAGGAACGCTGTGTCAGCGTCCAACTGTTCCATCTGGTACGCGAAAGCAGCGCAGACGGAGAGCACAACTCGAATCGAGTTCATGTTCGCCACAGGAGAGTACGTTTCAAAAAATCCACTCCGTACTTCTGCTTGAAACCCTTCGCCACCAACCGCGATTTGAAGCGCACCACGCGACCGTTCTGGTCACGCTTCTTGGCGAAAACCCATCTGCACCCAATGGTACGGATGGCCGTTCCTCGTGGAACTAATGTCCAGGTATCGTTCCGTTTATGAGAGAGCAGTTCAGCATCCATGGCTTCACGCCACTGTGTTGAATCTTCACTGGCAATTGCCTGAGCGTATGTTGTAGGAAGATCCACTGTATCAATGCTTGCTGCGTACGCGAGGACGGCTTCAGCAATAAGGCCGTCTTCATCGATCCTGGCACGCTTCGGATAGGACGGTCCATCTCTTCCTTCCGACTTCCGTTCTTCCTCTGCGTCCGTTCCCTCTTCAAGAAGGAAGACTGGTTCCCGGGAACTTCTAAAACGGTCTCTAGGGGTATGGAACACCACTTGATCGTCCTCGAAGATAGTCGGTGGTCCACGGTACGGTTCCAACTCAAATCCAGTGGAAGCTGACCGTTCTTGTGGCATCAGCAGCGGCGGTATAGCGTCCTGTATCGGTTGCATGCTCTCCATCTCTACATCCGGTGCATCGTTCTCAACGCCTTCCATGGGTTCCGCTTCGACGGGTTGAAGTTCCACTGGTGCGAGCGTGACTTCATCATCGGCGTCTGTGCTAACATGAATAACTGTTTCGATCTGAGCAGGTAGTGTATCGTAAATACCATCTACCTCACGCTCGTCCAATTTCACCGAGCGAGAAACCTTGACCTTGGAAGCGTCCAAGTCATAGACACGGTAACCCTTGACGTTTTCTGGGTATCCGAGCAGCAGACATCTAAAGCTCTTAGGTTCAAGCTTCGTCCTCTTCGCTTCGTCAATGTGAGCGTACCCGCGAGAACCAAATACGCGTAGGTGATCTAGCGTAGGTTTCACTTTGAAACCTAGCTCAAACGGTGTTACGGTTGCGTTGTGCGTGTTCGTGGAACGGTTGATTAGATATACCGCAGTACTAACTGCTTCAGCCCACCACTCCATTGGAACGCCCTTGTAGTATAGCATACTTCGAGATCTCTCCATGATAGTTCGGTTCATCCGTTCTGCCGCTCCATTCTGCTGAGGGCTATACGGGACAGTCCGTTGGTGCACGATACCGTTCAGCATACATATCTTCGTCATCTCTTGGTTGACAAACTCCGTTCTGTTATCCGATCGTAAACACTTCATGCGCTCTCCCCATTGATTCTCATAGAAAGTCATGAACTCTCTAAGCTTAATGGCCACCTCGCTCTTCTTTTTCAAGAAATAGGCCACAACGTAGCGCGAGTAGTCGTCCACGAACGTCAGGACATACTTGGCACCACCTTTTTTCGAAGGATTATTCATTGGTCCCATCATATCCGTGTGGACGAGCTCAAGAACGCGCGACGTCTTCGAGCTGGAACAATGCGGAAATTTAGCCACCGTTTGCTTCCCCTTCATGCATCCGCCACACAAAGACTGGGGCGGTTGACCAACAGCCGGAATACCGTTCGTGGCATGCCTTGTCTTATCCAGAGCATCCTGGTTGGGATGCCCCATGCGAGCGTGCCAAAGCTCCCACTTGCTGTCAGCCCCGGCGTACTGGACGAACCGAGCTTCTTCTTGTTCACAGTCTAACATGTAAGCCTTGCCGACCTTCTTACCCTTCGCAATTGCGCTAGCCGCTCCCCATATAACACATGAGGAACGCTGAAACTCCACGTTCAGTCCACGATCCGCGAGCTTCCCCACTGACAACAGACGCCGATCGAGGCCCGGTATGTGAAGAACTTCAACCATCTTAATCCGTTTACCGTCCAGTCCAAGCAAGCGTACCGTACCACGTCCAGTGACCTGCAGCTTCTTTCCGTCAGCGATTGTTACTTCGATGCCACCATTCACGTTCTCATACTCGAACAGATCGGAACGGTGCGGGGTCATGTGGGCGGTCGCGCCGCTGTCGATCAACCATCCGTTTACACGTTCTGTGCTCACACCAAATACCGCATCGCCGTCTGTTGTTCCCTCTTGACAGTCTCGCTTCATGTGCCCAACTTTGTTGCACTTGAAACACTTGCCTTGGAAACCACTAGAGTTCTTCTTCTGATCGCTCCACTTGCGACCACTCCTCTTGTTGCCCTTGAAACGTCCAGCGTTGACCTTAAATGCTCGTTCCAAAGTCGTGTCTTTCTTCTCCAACCGTTCACACTCCTTCAACAGCTTCTCTTTCACCTCGATGAGCGTGATGTCCTTGACGTTCTTGATGATCGACGATATCAGCTCGTATTCGGCTGGAAGGCTGCTCAGCAGCACCACTAGCTGCCGTGCCTCGTCGACGGGCTCTTCAAGCGTCTGAAGACCGACAACGAGCTCGTCGAAAGCGTCCAAATGCTTTGCCATGGCCGTTCCAGCATCCATCTTGAATTCGTGGAGGCGCCGTGTCATCGTGACCCGATTGTGGAGTGTAGTGCGATTGTAGAACTCCCTAAGTGTTACCCACGCTTGAATAGCACGCGTCGACGAACGGATCTTTGTCTGGTGTTGTAGTTCCACACCCTGCGCGATGATGCCGAGAGCCTTTGCGTCATTTACTAACCAAGCTTCCGTTATCTCGCTCTCCGGCTTGACCACCTCCACGTGCGCCAGCAGTCCTTTTCTGGTGAGCGACATCCTCATATTGAACTCCCAATGGAAATAATTTCCACTTCCTAGGAGGACTTCGGCGCGCTTGGTACTCATCATGTGCGAGGCGAGGCGTTCTTGGTCTTGACGCCGCTGTCCGAGTTGCGGCTGTTAACCTGTTGGGGTAGTTGGATGTAAAAGCCGAAGTGAATATATTTAAGGTCCTTAGTTCACTACCCTTAGCTAAGTCTAAGCCTCAATGTAACGACATCCTGTGATCTCATCATGTAACCGCGATCCATAACCTTCTTCCGTAATAACCACCATGAAACACCCTGACACAGAAATCATCACAATGAACCCAACATGAAACGACTGCACGAAGCGGCGTATTCTCAACAAATACGCGCTCGATGACGATGGGTACAACTGACGAAATTGTAACGAGCCAAACGTAACGCAGCTGAATCAGTGAGACTATCGTTGGCGCCATGATTCTTGGTTTGAGTGCATCGGATTTACACGCATCACCTATACCTTCTGATGACGTACAATCAGAGACGTTTACACTGATGGTGTATTGTGGTGGGGTTGACAGGGGCTTCAATGGTCGTTGTCCGCATTCGACCTCTGCTTTTGATGGTAGATATCCTAGCAAGAACAGTTCTTATAGGCAGAAAGAGCATCTCACTGCAGTACTTCCAGCACGCGAAGTGTTGTCTTCATGTATTCATTGCATGTGGCGTTGACCGTAGCGCTAATAGTGACAATGCGCAATGTAAGAACAGGCCGTCCTCGTAGCTGTACGGATTGTATTCGTTGGCATGCTTCAGCCACATAGACTATTCGACACCGCATTTGTATTTGTCACTTAACTTATCAGTAAGCGCAATCTTGTTTTGGACCCCGCGCTACTCGCTCTTGACAGCCATTGATGTGACAGCGTTGCGTGGTAAAAACTGTGACCAATCACCGCAACATGGAACAGGGCCAGCACCGTGACCGAAACAAGATGTACTATGAGCGGGACCACTGTGACGTGGTAGAGTATCGTTTCACTTCAGTATAGATGACTTGTGCCTTGAGTCTGGCTTCATGATGTCAATAGGACATCTTCAACAGTAGACGGTTTTAGGATAAACCGAGAACAGGCGGACGTATGTATGTGTCCTGTCGCTGATGGTTAATGCAAGTGAAAACCCCAGCTGTCGAAGAACGATCCGAGTGAATGTAGTTGATGGAGCTCCTCTTAGGTTCGCATCAAGATTCGTACCTTGCCATTTCCAGTTCAATCGGAGACTTGAACTGAGGATGTATGTAAGCATTTGTGGCAGGTCCACACGAAATGAGCTACTTCCAATGTATCGCAGGGCGCTAGAGCGAGTAGCAATCGATCAGCACTTTAGAATGACACCATCTTCTCTGATGTCCTTTAATGACTAACCACAAGTTGAGGTGCCTGTGAATACATGAGCTCTGTTGACATGTGCACTTTCAATGCACGGTCAACAAAGCAAACTGTGATTTGCTGCGCACAAGTGACAAGACAGCGATGGTACGGCAGGGTGTAAACGGTTTACGTGCAGCCTCATGATTCTAGAAGTAGCTTGAGTGTATATTCTAGAATCCATCAAGATTAGGGAAAGCAACGAGGCAGAAGAGGAGAACACGACGAGTAAGTTTATAGGCAGACTAGTTCAATACACTTTCCAATTTCCCTTTGACATAACAGGTTATGAGCTCAACAGCTTAAGGACCACTGCAAGAAGCGTCTACGATGATGAAACCCGACGACCTGCTCGGAACTGACAATTACTGTCCTTGCGAATTCTACATGAATATGACAGTTGCGAGATAGGGCCTGCTGGAGCACATCTTGGAAGTGAAGGCGGAGCAGGAGATGACGGTGGATTGGTCGGTCAAGGACATCAAGGCACTTGCTTTCAGTTCTCAAGGGATAGAAGTGAAGCATCCGACGAAGGTCCGACATGCTCGCACTGAGAAGGAAGCATGGGGACCACTACGCGACTACTACAACAAGACAAACCTTCAGAATCGAGTACCAATGACACGTTTATTGCACGAATTTCGCATGCATGAGGGAGGCGACATGGTGAGCCACCTTGGCCGTTTTGATGAGCTTTTTCTGAGTATGGAGGCGGTGGGCGATGCCATGGACGAAGCACGCCAGATGACAGTTCTGCTGAGTAGCATACCGGCAAAGTACGAGATGATTGTGTTCACTAATGAAAATCTCGCGGGTGTGACGATGGTAAATGTGAAAGAAAAAGCTGTTGAAGGAGCACAAGAAGAAGTAGCAGCAAGAGGTATCGAAGGAGCTTTCCACGTTGGTCGTGGGGGACATAAACAGGATCGTGGTCGTGTAGTGCGCCAAAAACGTGGTGCATAAAAAAGCTGGAAGAAGAAACTGTAATAGTAGCACCGCTCTTGCACGGTTTATCAAAGATTGTTTCATGGTGTTGGTTACGGAAGAAGGTTATGGATCGCGGATACATGATGAGATCACAGGATGTCGTTACATTAAGGCTTAAACTTAGCTAAGGGTAGTGAACTAAGGACCTTGAATATATTTACTTCGGAATTTACATTCAACACCACTACCTTCACCTCAACAGGTTAACAGCCACAAGGGTGTTGACGTTACTACTATCGCGAGACAAGCTCAAGCCATGACCATCAAGAGCTCCGAAGTCCTCCTGGGAAGTGGTAACTACTACCACTGGGAGCACAACATGCGGAAGACTCTAGCCCGACAGGGGCTACTGGCGCATGTTGAGGTCGTGAAGCCCGAGCTCGAGATCACCGAGGCGTGGCTTATTAACGACGCAAAGGCTCTTGGGATCATCGCTTAAGGTGTGGAACTGCAGCACCAGACCAAGATAAGTTCTGCGACACGTGCTATCCATGCGTGGGCTACGCTACGAGACTTCTACAATCGCTCTACGCGCCAGAACCGTGTGAACATGACGCACCGTCTGCACCAGTTCAATATGGAGAGCGTTTCGACTATGGCCAAGCATCTGGACGATTTTGACGAGCTTATCGTCGGATTGCAGACACTGGGAGAGCCCGTCGATGAAGCTCGACAGCTGGTAGTGCTATTAAGCAGCCTTCCTTCTGAGTACGAATTAATTCCAGCAATCGTGGAGAACGCCAAGGATGTGTCTCTGATCGAGGTGAAAGAGAAGTTGCTCAAGGAATACGAGCGACTAGAAGAGAAGGACACCACCATGGAGAAAGCGTTTCGAGCTAACGGGAATGCTGGAAGGTTCAAGGGGGCCGAGGACACGGTCGAAAGGGGATCTCTTCAAGAAAGAATGGTGGTGGATACAATGGAAAGTGGTTTGAGTGTGGCCAATTTGGTCATATGAAGCGGGACTGTCCTGTGCAGAAAGGCGACAGTGCGAATGATGTTGTTTTTTCTGTGAGTGAGAAAAGACTCGACGGTTGGCTGATTGACAGTGGAGCTACATCGCATATGACTCCGCATCGTTCCGGCTTGTTCGACTACGAGATCCTGAACGATGGCATTGATGTAACGATTGTTGATGGCAAGAAGTTACGCGTTCATAAAAAAAGGAACAGTGAGGCTGACTGGTGTGAACAGTCGAAGAATCAAGATGATGAATGTATTGCACATTCCAGGACTTGACCGTCGTCTTTTATCAGTTGGAAGACTCGCTGAACACGGTCTAAGTGTCAACTTTGAGCGTTTATCGTGCATCATTTGGGACGACAGAAGTGCAACTGCTGTGGGAAAGAAGTGCAATTGCAGTGGGAAAGAATATGGGCAAAGCGTTCATGCTGGACTGTCAGCAGAAGGAAGCAAGATTTGTGCAGTACTCGGGAGCAGACAGTAAATGGGAGCTACGGCACGCTCGCTTGGGACACCCAAGTAAGGACGCACTGACCAAGACACAGTGTAGCACTGAAGGAATTCCTGCGGTAGAGCAAGGTATCGAGACGCTTAGAGGAGGCTGCATGAAAGGAAAACAAACCGTAGCCTCTTTTCCATCAAAAACACTGTCAAAAACATCAGTAGTGTTGGAACTGGTCCATACCGATGTTATGGGACCAATGCGAACACTCAAAAGGTGGTGCCAAGTATGTGCTTACAATCGTGGACGATTACTCGTTGTACGTTGTGGCGTATTTCATGAGGAACAAGAGTGGAGTTGCCGGTAAGCTGAAAGAGTATCAAGCGCTGTATGGAAATCAGTGGGGAAAGCGCATGAAGTGTACAAGGTCAGACAATGGAACGGAGTTTGTGAACAACACCGTGCTGAGATGTGCATGCGAAAAGGAATCATGCATCAGCGATCTGTCCCGTATACACCTTAACAAAATGGAGTGGCTGAGCGAATGAATCGCACAATCATGGAGAAGGCTCGTAGCATGCTACACTGCAAGGGTGTTAGTATGGAATGGTGGGCAGAGGCTGTGAGCACAGCAGCATGCTTGATCAACCGTTTTACTAACACAGCATGCTCAAACTCGACTCCATTTCAGTTGGCCTAAGAAAAAAAGCCTCGTTTAGACCATTTGCGCGTATTTGGGTCGCAGGGGTACGCCCACATTGAAGATGTGAAGCGGAAAAAGCTCGATTCCAAGAGCTTTTGCTGTATGTTTCTAGGGTATGCTGAAAATGTTAAGGGATATCGTCTCTATGGCTTGGACAATCTTAAGATCAAGACATCACGTTCTGTCAACCTGGACGAGCGTGAGGTGGCCGGTATATACGACACGCGGTCGCCGCAGCTTGAAACAATCGTCCGTGTGACCGCTGAACATACTGATGAGAATCTATCACCTGTGGAGATAGAGCAATTAACGGACGAGCCCATGGAAGTCGATGAAGACCCTGGTATGGATGTGGAGATGGATGAGGTGGATGAGATGGAACATGAGCAGATGGTCAATTATCCTCGACTCCGGTCATCAGGACCTACATCAGTTGGGCATGAACTGACCGAATGTTCTCCTCCGCAGCCAGTTTTCGAGGAAGACCGGTTGGTGTTTCACCCTGAGACAACATTCTCAAGGCGATCCAGGGAGTCAGAATTGCTACTCGAGGACGAGAAATTTGATGACGAAGCACATCAGTCAGAATGGAGTGATGGACCACCATCACCAAAGCGTGACAGAATCGAAGATGAAGGGTTGCTGGCTGAGGAAGTATTCACATATGCTGCAAATTTTGACGGCATTCCAGACACACCAAACACGTATGCAGAAGCCACTGCTAGTGGTGAAGCAGATAGATGGAGTAAGGCTATTGATGCAGAGCTTCATTCTCATGCCCAAAATCACACGTGGACCCTCATTCCACGTAAAACGAACATCCGGTCGATTGGGTGCCGTTGGGATTTTGCTAAGAAGCGGGATGAGAGCGGTCAAGTTATTAGATACAAGGCTAGACTGGTGGCTCAAGGGTTTAATCAGAAGTTTGGGGTCGACTTCTTCGAAACATACTCGCCAATGGCCAACATGAACTCAATCCGAGTTGTGCTTGCTGTGTGTGCGGCACACGCCTACATGATGGAGCAGCTGGACGCTGATACAGCGTTTCTGAACAGTACGTAGGTGGAAACCGTCTACATGGAAGCTCCATGTGGTGCGAAGAACGCTAAGGGCATGATATGCAAGCTGAACAAAGCTATCTATGGGCTGAAACAGGCAGCAAGCGCTTGGAACAAGACAATTCGTTATGTGTTCCTGCTTGACGACTTCAAAAGCTGCGGTGCCAATCAATGCGTTTACGTAAAGCGTGCTCGAAATGGCTTCGTGTTGTGTGCCTTTATGTAGACGACATGATCATTGCGGCAAAAACAAGCGTTGGGATTCAAGAAGTTAAGCAGGCGCTTAAAAACGCATTCAAGATGAAGGAGCTGGGTGCAGCAAAGTTCATTCTGGGTACGGAGATCAATCACGACATAAACGCCGGTGCGCTCATGAAAAGGCAAACTCGGTACATAGACGACGTGGTGAAACGTTTTAACCAGCAGAACGCGAAGATGATTGAAAATCCATGCACTTCGAACCTGAAGCTGTCGAAATTGTTGTCGCCAACTACGGAAGAGGGACGTGCTGAAATGAGGTCAAAACCCTATCGCTCGTTGATCGGATGCCTGATGAATATCACGACATGCACCCGACCAGACATCGCGTATGTAGTTACGCAATTGTCGCGTTTTCTCGAAAACTTTGGAGTTCAACACTGGAAAGCAGCCATTCGTGTGCTTCAATACCTCAAGTTGACTCGTGAACATGGTATTGTGTACCAACGAGGTTCTGGAAGCTTCACTGCTGAAGCATACACGGATGCTTGATTGGGGTAGCAAAACTGATGACCGACGCTCAGTGTCAGGTGTCACGGTGATGATTGAAAAAGCTCCAGTGGTATTCAAGTCGAAATACCGGAGAAGAAAGTTGCTCTCAGCTCAGCCGAAGCAGAATATATGGCGCTAAGCCTTTGCCCTCAAGAAGTACTTTGGGTGCGGTCGATGCTTATGTACATGGGTCAAGAGCAAGAAGGAGGAACACTTATATGGGAAGACAATCAAGGTGCCATTGCGTTGGCACGTAATGCTGGGTATCACGCACGAACGAAGCACGTCGACATACGTCACCACTTTAAGTTCCTGCGTGAAGCAACTGGCATTAACGAAAAATTCACCGTGCCAAAGCGGTAAATGGAAGTGTTATAGTAGCACCGCTCTTGCACGGTTTATCAAAGATTGTTTCATGGTGTTGGTTACGGAGGAAGGTTATGGATCGCGGATACATGATGAGATCACGGGATGTCATTACATTAAGGTTTAGACTTAGCTATAGGTAGTGAACCAAGGACCATGAGTGGATTTACTTCGGAATTTACATTCAACACCACGACCTTCGTCTCAATAGCATTCACTCGGATCGTTCTTCGACAGCTGGGGTTTTCGCATGCGTGAACCGTCAGCGACAAGACGCATACATACGTCCGTCTGTTCTCGGTTCATCCCCAAACCGTCTACTATTGAAGACATCCTATTGACATCATGAAGCCAGACTCAAGGCACAAGTCATTTGTACTGAAGTGAAACGATACTCTACCACGTCACGGTGGTCCCGCTCATAGTACATCTTGTTTCGTTCACGGTGCTTGCCCTGTTCCATGTTGCGGTGATTGGTCACAGTTTTTACCACGCAACGCTGTCACATCAATGGCTGTCAAGAGCGAGTAGCGCGGGGTCCAAAACAAGATTGCGCTTACTGAAAAGTATAGTGACAAATACAAATGCGGTGTCGAATAGTCTATGTGGCTGAAGCATACCAACGAATACAATTCGTACAGCTACGAGGACGGCCTGTTCTTACATTGCGTGTTGTCACTATTAGCGCTACAGTCAACACCACATGCAATGAATACATGAAGACGACACTTGGAGTGCTGGAAGTACTGCAGTGAGATGATCTTTTTCCGCCCATAAGCACTGTTCTTGCTAGGATATCTACCATCAAAAGCAGAGGTTGAAATGCGGACAAAGACCATTGAAGCCCCTGTCAACCCCACCACAATACACCATCAGTGTAAACGCCTCTGATTGTACGTCATCAGAATGCATGGGTGATGCGTGTAAAGCCGATGCACTCAAACCAATGATCTTGGCGCCAGCGATAGTCTCACTGATTCAGCTGCGTTACGTTTGGCTCGTTACCCTTTCGTCAGTTGTAATCATCGTCATCGAGCGCGTATTACCATCCGATCCCTAATTGATCCGGTGCCGAGTTTCTCTCATGTTGTAACCACATGTAAATTGAAGCACTGATTGAGCAGTCATTAATGATGACTGAGGTGGCTCTGTTTACAAAATCCTCGGTTTCGTGTTTCGTCACGTCCCATAGCTGGTTCAAGCAGAGAAGTCGTCCCACATCCCTCTCCAAATGAGTCAGCTATTGCTTATTCTTCCTCCACGATGACGATTCGAACACTTGTGCTTGCGTTCTCATGGTCCCTCAGCATCAAGCATTCGAGGTACACCGCGTATCCATGCGCGCGTTGCTCTCGTCGCGAAGCACTTTGTGTAGTGATCAAGTCCATGGATTTACAGTAGAGCCATTAAGCTCGATCCATTGTTTAGAGACCAGATTTTGATTTCAAATCCCTTTCATGACCTTGTCACGTCTTGCCATTAGAAAGCGAGGAAGTCCAGGCATGTCGGCATGTTCGCATGACATGAGGCCACGAGCAAAATAAATCATCTGAACGCGGCAACGCTGGTACTGATCATTTTTGAATATGCCGTCAAGCAGCATCCACGGTCTGGCAAGTGCAGCACGCAATCGAGAGGACTACCATCCGAAGTTGATGCGTCGAGAGTCTGTGATGCATCAGACGCAAGAAGCTGTGGCCACGTCCACGAGTTTCAAGTCGCGCATGATCTAGTTCATCTTTTACAGAGGGAGGCGTGCACCCAACCAGCAACACAAGTCTTGGTCAGGAAAAGAGGAATGCATTCTGAGGTCGGCTCATGGGACTGCAAGCTGCCCGTCCAGCAACGACATCGAACTCCACAACGAACCTGGCCGATGCGTATCACCCGCTTCAACAACTTCCGGGCAGACGCAAGTGAAGCGAAAAGCACGGCGAGGATATGCTGAGGGAGATTCTGGTCGAGCCCAATGGCGTCAGCGACAGACACACTGCGCCAACTGCGAGCGCCTTTTCTTCACGTCTCTCTCATCTCTCAGTAACGCTGCGGGTCGATTTTGCTCGCTGGATTGCAGGACCAATCTGGAGTACATGCACCAGCTCCAGAAAGTGATGGATACGCAGCAGACATGGGAGGGCAGCACCGACTCTAGCGAATCGGGACACAATGAAGAGGCGGAAGAGACAACATTGAAGGGGGTCGATAGTTCGACCGGCAGGTCGTCGCGTACCATTGACAGTCAAGTAGACATTGCAGGGTCACAGGACACCGTAGTAAACACTAGAATTGACGCATGACGGAGTAAGAACATGAAGAGCATTATTTATGAGTGACACGACTACTCGAAGTGAGCCTTGACGATCTCGCTGAATAACTGTACAGGATGAGAGTGAAAGAGTCAAATACGAGAACATGGCGCCGCCCACCGTCACGACGCACATAAGACGGTGAGCGTAGAGACTACGGAGATGTACAATAGTATCACACTTGACTCTTTACGCCTGCCAGACGCGACTTTCAGCACACTTCGTCAACGACTGGAGCAGACGATACAACAAATACGGAATTGTTGGTCACTCGTCCGTCAGCAATTTACCAGTTGAAAGAGTGGTTGCGGCGGAACGGCAATCGCTGCCAAATTTGTGACTACAGCGTCAGCACGCGCGCGCATCGATCGGCATCGATTGAAAATCCATCAAATGGATCATGCAAATGTTGGAGTATTTTGCACCGATGACGAGCTAAAACTAGGACTGACGCCGATGCTACCAAGCGCATGCCATGCGATGTCGTACTCTGATATTCTCTACAACCTTTCCGCTACTTCCTCGTATCTGCCGTCACTTCGCTTCGTGCTGTTTGTGTACCTCCATTACGTGGCAACGTATCGCAGGAAGAAATCACGAAGTCGGAGCGGAGCAGCTGGAAACACGTGTTGGAGAGAACAGTCTCACACCTGCTGATGCGCCAAACTACTGGCTTTCAACACTTCACAAATCCTCCATCGCTCGCGGGTGACCCTTATCGTCAGTTTGTAACCGTCCAACGTGAAACACAGTCGTAGTACACCATCAACGACGACGCAACATGCCCGACGTTTTTGAAACAAAGCGCCACACGAATGTACAACAACTGTACCCACGTCCAATGCATGATAGTGGTGTCCAGGTTGATGTCCAACGATCAGGATCACCATCAGTGCCTGTGAATTTCCATCCGCATGCCTGGTGCGCGATCGGAAATGATTGAGGCTGGTACTTTGGTGTATGCCTCACATGACCGTTCTAGCCATCGTATTTGAGATCAACCGAAAAGAGATGTTGCTTCTTATAATTTGCAAAAAGCTGTTGCGCTTGTATCGTTGTGACCCTAATCAGAGGAAACCACTGCGAACGACAAACCACGGTGATGGAAACTGGTATGTAGCCGCCACGATTAGAACATCGAGCAGGAAAGCGAAGGGATGTAGGGACACCCAAACTTCTGGCGTAGCTCAAACGCTAGCGCAGCTGCTCACGAGTACCTCAACTCCGGGTTATTCATTATAGGACATCAGAGAAGATGGTGTTATTCTAAAGCGCTGGTCGATTGCTACTCGCTCTAGCGCCATGCGAGACATTGGAAGTAGCTCATTTCGTGTGGAGCTGCCAGAAATACTTACATACAACCTCAGTTCAAGTCTCCGGTTGAACTGGAAAATGGCAAGATACGGATCTTGATGCGAACGTAAGAGGAGCTCCATCAAGTGCATTCACTCGGATCGTTCATCGACAGCTGGGGTTTTCACTTGCATTAACCATCAGCGACAGGACACATACATACGTCCGCCTGTTCTCGGTTCATCCTCAAACCGTCTACTGTTGAAGATGTCCTATTGACATCATGAAGCCAGACTCAAGGCACAAGTCATCTATACTGAAGTGAAACGATACTCTACCACGTCACAGTGGTCCCGCTCATAGTACATCTTGTATCGGTCACGGTGCTGGCCCTGTTCCATGTTGCGGTGATTGGTCACAGTTTTTACCACGCAACGCTGTCACATCAATGGCTGCCAAGAGCGAGTAGCGCGGGGTCCAAAACAAGATTGCGCTTACTGATAAGTGTAGTGACAAATACAAATGCGGTGTCGAATAGTCTATGTGGCTGAAGCATGCCAACGAATACAATTCGTACAGCTACGAGGACGGCCTGTTCTTACATTGCGTGTTGTCACTATTAGCGCTACGGTCAACGCTACATGCAATGAATCGATGCAGACAACACTTGGCGTGCTGGAAGTACTGCAGTGAGATGCTCTTTTTCCGCCCATAAGCACTGTTCTTGCTAGGATATCTACCATCAAAAGCAGAGGTCGAATGCGGACAACGACCAATGAAACCCCTGTCAACCCCACCACAATACACCATCAGTGTAAACGCCTCTGATTATGCGTCATCAAGGTATAGGTGATGCGTGTAAAGCCAATGCACTCAAACCAACGATCTTGGCGCCAGCGATAGTCTCACTGATTCAGCTGCGTTACGTTTGGCTCGTTACCCTTTCGTCAGTTGTAATCATCGTCATCGAGCGCGTATTACCATCCGATCCCGAATTGATCCGGTGCCGAGTTTCTCTCATGTTGTAACCACTTGTAAATCGAAGCAATGTTTGAGCAGTCATTAATGATGACTGAGGTGGCTTTGTTTACAAAACTCTCGATTTCGTGTTTCGTCACGTCCCATAGCTAGTTCAAGCAGAGAAGTCGTCCCACATCCCTCTCCAAATGAGTCAGCTATTGCTTATTCTTCCTCCACGATGACGATTCGAACACTTGTGCTTGCATTCTCATGGTCCCTCAGCATCAAGCATTCGAGGTACACCGCGTATCCATGCGCGCGTTGCTCTCGTCGCGAAGCACTTTGTGTAGTGTCCAAGTCCATGGATTTACAGTAGAGCCATTAAGCTCGATCCAATGTTTAGAGACCAGATTTTGATTTCAAATCCCTTTCATGACCTTGTCACGAACTGCCATCAGAAAGCGAGGAAGCCCAGGCATGTCGGCATGTTCGCATGACTTGAGGCCACAAGCAAAGTCAACCATCCGAGCGCGGCAACGCTGGTATTGATCATTTTTGAATATGCCGTCAAGCAGCATCCACGTTGTGACGAGTGCAGCACGCATTCGGGAGGACTACCATCCGAAGTTGATGCGTCGAGAGTCTGTGATGCATCAGACGCAAGAAGCCGTGGCCACGTCCACGAGTTTCAAGTCGCGCATGATCCAGTTCATCTTTCACAGAGGGAGGCGTGCACCCAACCAGCAACACAAGTCTTGGTCAGGAAAAGTGGAATGCATTCTGAGGTCGGCTCATGGGACTGCAAGCTGCCCGTCCAGCAACGACATCGAACTCCACAACGAACCTGGCCGATGCGTATCACCCGTTCCACCAACTTCCGGGCAGACACAAGTGAAGCGAAAAGCACGGCGAGGATATGCTGAGGGAGATTCTAGTCGAGCCCAATGGCGTCAGCGACAGACACACTGCGCCAACTGCGAGCGCCTTTTCTTCACGTCTCTCTCATCTCTCAGTAACGCTGCGGGTCGATTTTGCTCGCTGGATTGCAGGACCAATCTGGAGTACATGTACCAGCTCCAGAAATTGATGGATACGCAGCAGACATGGGAGGGCAGCACCATCAATAGCGAATCGGGACACAATGAAGAGGCGGAAGAGACAACATTGAAGGGGGTCGATAGTTCGACCGGCAGGTCGTCGCGTACCATCGACAGTCAAGTAGACATTGCAGGGTCACAGGACACCGTAGTAAACACTAGACTTGACGCGTGATGGAGTAAGAACATGAAGAGCATTATTTATGAGAAACACGACTACTCGAAGTGAGCCTTGACGATCTCGCTGAATAACTGCACACGATGAGAGTGAAAGAGTCAAATACGAGAGCATGGCGCCGCCCATCGTCACGACGCACATAAGACGGTGAGTGTAGAGACTACGGAGATGAACAATAGTATCACACTTGACTCTTTACGCCTGCCAGACGCGACTTTCAGCACACTTCGTCAACAACCGGAGCAGACGATACAACAAATACGGAATTGTTGGTCACTCGTCCGTCAGCAATTTACCAGTTGAAAGAGTGGTTGCGGCGGAACGGCAATCGCTGCCAAACAAAATCGTGACTACAGCGTCAGCACGCGCGCGCATCGATCGGCATCGATCGAAAATTCATCGAACACATCGTGCAAATGTTGAAGTATTTCGCACCGATGACGAACAAAAACTAGGACTGACGCCGATGCTACTACCAAGCGCACGCCATGCGATGTCGTACTCTGATATTCTCTACAACCTTTCCGCTACTTCCTCGTATCTGCCGTCACTTCGCTTCGTGCTGTTTGCGTACCTTCATTGCGTGGCTACGTATCGCAGGAAGAAATCACGAAGTCGGAGCGGAGCAGCTGGAAACACGTGTTGGAGAGAACAGTTTCACACTTTCGACGCGCCAAACTACAGGCTGTCAACACTTCACATATCCTCCATCTCTTGCGGGTGACCCTTATCGTCAGTTTGTAACCGTCCAACGTGAAACACAGTCGTAGTACACCATCAACGACGACGCAACATGCCCGACGTCTCCGAAACAAAGCGCCACACGAATGTACAACAACTGTACCCACGTCCAAGGCATGAGAGTGGCGTCCAGATCTCCGGCCAACGATCAGGATCACCATCAGTGCCTGTGAATTTCCATCCGCACGCCTGGTGCGCGATTGGAAATGATTGAGGCTGGTACTTTGGTGTATGCCTCACATGACCGTTCCAGCCATCGTATTTGAGATCAACCGAAAAGAGGTGTTGCTTCTTACAGTTGGCAGAACGGCTATTGCGCTTGCATCGTTGTGACCGTAATCACAGGAAACCACTGCGAACGACAAACCACCGTGATGAAAGCTGTTACGTCGCCACCATGAACATAAACTCGAGCAGGAATGCAAAGGGATGTAGGGACACCCAAATTTCTGGCGTAGCTCAAACTCTAGCTCATCTATTCAATTGTACCTCAATTTCGGGGTGCCCGTTAAAGATCATCAACGAAGATGGTGTCATTCTAAAGCGCTGATAGATTGCTACTCGCTCTGGTGCCATGTGAAACATTGGAAGTAGCTCATTTCGTGTGGAGCTGCCAGAAATACTTACACATGACCTCAGTTCAAGTCTCCGATTGAACTGGAAAATGGCAAGGTACGGATCTTGATGCGAACGTAAGAGGAGCTCCATCAAGTGCATTCACTCGGATCGTTCTTCGACAGCTGGGGTTTTCACTTGGATGGACCATCAGCGACAGGAAACATGCATACGTCCGTCTGTTTTCGGTTTATCTGTTTTAGTAGCACCGCTCTTGCACGGTTTATGAAAGATTGTTTCATGGTGTTGGTTACGGAAGAAGGTTATGGATCGCGGATACATGATGAGATCACAGGATGTCGTTACATTAAGGCTTAAACTTAGCTAAGGGTAGTGAACTAAGGACCTTGAATATATTTACTTCGGAATTTACATTCAACACCACTACCTTCACCTCAACAGGTTAACAGCCACAAGGGTGTTGACGTTACTACTATCGCGAGACAAGCTCAAGCCATGACCATCAAGAGCTCCGAAGTCCTCCTGGGAAGTGGTAACTACTACCACTGGGAGCACAACATGCGGAAGACACTAGCCCGAAAGGAGCTACTGGCGCATGTTGAGGTCGTGAAGCCCGAGCTCGAGATCACCGAGGCGTGGCTTATTAACGATGCAAAGGCTCTTGGGATCATCGCTTAAGGTGTGGAACTGCAGCACCAGACCAAGATAAGGTCTGCGACACGTGCTATCCATGCATGGGCTACGCTACGAGACTTCTACAATCGCTCTACGCGCCAGAACCGTGTGAACATGACGCACCGTCTGCACCAGTTCAATATGGAGAGCGTTTCGACTATGGCCAAGCATCTGGACGATTTTGACGAGCTTATCGTCGGATTGCAGACACTGGGAGAGCCCGTCGATGAAGCTCGACAGCTGGTAGTGCTATTAAGCAGCCTTCCTTCTGAGTACGAATTAATTCCAGCAATCGTGGAGAACGCCAAGGATGTGTCTCTGATCGAGGTGAAAGAGAAGTTGCTCAAGGAATACGAGCGACTAGAAGAGAAGGACACCACCATGGAGAAAGCGTTTCGAGCTAACGGGAATGCTGGAAGGTTCAAGGGGGCCGAGGACACGGTCGAAAGGGGATCTCTTCAAGAAAGAATGGTGGTGGATACAATGGAAAGTGGTTTGAGTGTGGCCAATTTGGTCATATGAAGCGGGACTGTCCTGTGCAGAAAGGCGACAGTGGGAATGATGTTGTTTTTTCTGTGAGTGAGAAAAGACTCGACGGTTGGCTGATTGACAGTGGAGCTACATCGCATATGACTCCGCATCGTTCCGACCTGTTCGACTACGAGATCCTGAACGATGGCATTGATGTAACGATTGTCGATGGAAAGAAGTTACGCGTTCATAAAAAAAAGGAACAGTGAGGCTGACTGGTGTGAACAGTCGAAGAATCAAGATGATGAATGTATTGCACATTCCAGGACTTGACCGTCGTCTTTTATCAGTTGGAAGACTCGCTGAACACGGTCTAAGTGTCAACTTTGAGCGTTTATCGTGCATCATTTGGGACGACAGAAGTGCAACTGCTGTGGGAAAGAAGTGCAATTGCAGTGGGAAAGAATATGGGCAAAGCGTTCATGCTGGACTGTCAGCAGAAGGAAGCAAGATTTGTGCAGTACTCGGGAGCAGACAGTAAATGGGAGCTACGGCACGCTCGCTTGGGACACCCAAGTAAGGACGCACTGACCAAGACACAGTGTAGCACTGAAGGAATTCCTGCGGTAGAGCAAGGTATCGAGACGCTTAGAGGAGACTGCATGAAAGGAAAACAAACCGTAGCCTCTTTTCCATCAAAAACACTGTCAAAAACATCAGTAGTGTTGGAACTGGTCCATACCGATGTTATGGGACCAATGCGAACACTCAAAAGGTGGTGCCAAGTATGTGCTTACAATCGTGGACGATTACTCGTTGTACGTTGTGGCGTATTTCATGAGGAACAAGAGTGGAGTTGCCGGTAAGCTGAAAGAGTATCAAGCGCTGTATGGAAATCAGTGGGGAAAGCGCATGAAGTGTCTAAGGTCAGACAATGGAACGGAGTTTGTGAACAACACCGTGCTGAGATGTGCATGCGAAAAGGAATCATGCATCAGCGATCTGTCCCGTATACACCTTAACAAAATGGAGTGGCTGAGCGAATGAATCGCACAATCATGGAGAAGGCTCGTAGCATGCTACACTACCAGGGTGTTAGTATGGAAAGGTGGGCAGAGGCTGTATGCACAGCAGTATACTTGATCAACCGTTCTACTAACACAGCTTGCTCAAACTCGACTCCATTTCAGTTGGCCTACGATAAGAAGCCTCGTCTGGACCATTTGCGCGTATTTGGGTTGCAAAAGTACGCCCACATTGAAGATGTGAAGCGGAAAAAGCTCGATTCCAAGAGCTTTCGCTGTATGTTTCGAGGGTATGCTGAAAATGTTAAGGGATATCGTCTCTATGACTTGGACAATCTTAAGATCAAGACATCACGTTCTGTCAACCTGGACGAGCGTGAGGTGGCCGGTATATACGACACGCGGTCGCCGCAGCTTGAAACAATCGTCCGTGTGACCGCTGAACATACTGATGAGAATCTATCACCTGTGGAGATAGAGCAATTAACGGACGAGCCCATGGAAGTCGATGAAGACCCTGGTATGGATGTGGAGATGGATGAGGTGGATGAGATGGAACATGAGCAGATGGTCAATTATCCTCGACTCCGGTCATCAGGACCTACATCAGTTGGGCATGAACTGACCGAATGTTCTCCTCCGCAGCCAGTTTTCGAGGAAGACCGGTTGGTGTTTCACCCTGAGACAACATTCTCAAGGCGATCCAGGGAGTCAGAATTGCTACTCGAGGACGAGAAATTTGATGACGAAGCACATCAGTCAGAATGGAGTGATGGACCACCATCACCAAAGCGTGACAGAATCGAAGATGAAGGGTTGCTGGCTGAGGAAGTATTCACATATGCTGCAAATTTTGACGGCATTCCAGACACACCAAACACGTATGCAGAAGCCACTGCTAGTGGTGAAGCAGATAGATGGAGTAAGGCTATTGATGCAGAGCTTCATTCTCATGCCCAAAATCACACGTGGACCCTCATTCCACGTAAAACGAACATCCGGTCGATTGGGTGCCGTTGGGATTTCGCTAAGAAGCGGGATGAGAGCGGTCAAGTTATTAGATACAAGGCTAGACTGGTGGCTCAAGGGTTTAATCAGAAGTTTGGGGTCGACTTCTTCGAAACATACTCGCCAATGGCCAACATGAACTCAATCCGAGTTGTGCTTGCTGTGTGTGCGGCACACGCCTACATGATGGAGCAGCTGGACGCTGATACAGCGTTTCTGAACAGTACGTAGGTGGAAACCGTCTACATGGAAGCTCCATGTGGTGCGAAGAACGCTAAGGGCATGATATGCAAGCTGAACAAAGCTATCTATGGGCTGAAACAGGCAGCAAGCGCTTGGAACAAGACAATTCGTTATGTGTTCCTGCTTGACGACTTCAAAAGCTGCGGTGCCAATCAATGCGTTTACGTAAAGCGTGCTCGAAATGGCTTCGTGTTGTGTGCCTTTATGTAGACGACATGATCATTGCGGCAAAAACAAGCGTTGGGATTCAAGAAGTTAAGCAGGCGCTTAAAAACGCATTCAAGATGAAGGAGCTGGGTGCAGCAAAGTTCATTCTGGGTACGGAGATCAATCACGACATAAACGCCGGTGCGCTCATGAAAAGGCAAACTCGGTACATAGACGACGTGGTGAAACGTTTTAACCAGCAGAACGCGAAGATGATTGAAAATCCATGCACTTCGAACCTGAAGCTGTCGAAATTGTTGTCGCCAACTACGGAAGAGGGACGTGCTGAAATGAGGTCAAAACCCTATCGCTCGTTGATCGGATGCCTGATGAATATCACGACATGCACCCGACCAGACATCGCGTATGTAGTTACGCAATTGTCGCGTTTTCTCGAAAACTTTGGAGTTCAACACTGGAAAGCAGCCATTCGTGTGCTTCAATACCTCAAGTTGACTCGTGAACATGGTATTGTGTACCAACGAGGTTCTGGAAGCTTCACTGCTGAAGCATACACGGATGCTTGATTGGGGTAGCAAAACTGATGACCGACGCTCAGTGTCAGGTGTCACGGTGATGATTGAAAAAGCTCCAGTGGTATTCAAGTCGAAATACCGGAGAAGAAAGTTGCTCTCAGCTCAGCCGAAGCAGAATATATGGCGCTAAGCCTTTGCCCTCAAGTAGTACTTTGGGTGCGGTCGATGCTTAAGGACATGGGTCAAGAGCAAGAAGGAGGAACACTTATATGGGAAGACAATCAAGGTGCCATTGCATTGGCATGTAATGCTGGGTATCACGCACGAACGAAGCACGTCGACATACGTCACCACTTTAAGTTCCTGCGTGAAGCAACTGGCATTAGCGAAAAATTCACCGTGCCAAAGCGGTAAATGGAAGTGTTATAGTAGCACCGCTCTTGCACGGTTTATCAAAGATTGTTTCATGGTGTTGGTTACGGAGGAAGGTTATGGATCGCGGATACATGATGAGATCACGGGATGTCATTACATTAAGGTTTAGACTTAGCTATAGGTAGTGAACCAAGGACCATGAGTGGATTTACTTCGGAATTTACATTCAACACCACGACCTTCGTCTCAATAGCATTCACTCGGATCGTTCTTCGACAGCTGGGGTTTTCGCATGCGTGAACCGTCAGCGACAAGACGCATACATACGTCCGTCTGTTCTCGGTTCATCCCCAAACCGTCTACTATTGAAGACATCCTATTGACATCATGAAGCCAGACTCAAGGCACAAGTCATTTGTACTGAAGTGAAACGATACTCTACCACGTCACGGTGGTCCCGCTCATAGTACATCTTGTTTCGTTCACGGTGCTTGCCCTGTTCCATGTTGCGGTGATTGGTCACAGTTTTTACCACGCAACGCTGTCCCATCAATGGCTGCCAAGAGCGAGTAGCGCGGGGTCCAAGACAAGATTGCGCTTACTGATGAGTTAAGTAACAAATACAAATGCGGTGTCGAATAGTCGATTTGGCTGAAGCATGCCAACGAATACAATTCGTACAGCTACGAGGACGGCCTGTTCTTACATTGCGTGTTGTCACTATTAGCGCTACGGTCAACGCCACATGCAATGAATACATGAAGACGACACTTGGCGTGCTGGAAGTACTGCAGTGAGATGCTCTTTCCGCCCATAAGCACTTTTCTTGCTAGGATATCTGCCATCAAAAGCAGAGGTTGAAATGCGGACAAAGACCATTGAAGCCCCTGTCAACCCCACCACAATACACCATCAGTGTAAACGCCTCTGATTGTACGTCATCAGAATGCATGGGTGATGCGTGTAAAGCCGATGCACTCAAACCAATGATCTTGGCGCCAGCGATAGTCTCACTGATTCAGCTGCGTTACGTTTGGCTCGTTACCCTTTCGTCAGTTGTAATCATCGTCATCGAGCGCGTATTACCATCCGATCCCTAATTGATCCGGTGCCGAGTTTCTCTCATGTTGTAACCACATGTAAATTGAAGCACTGTTTGAGCAGTCATTAATGATGACTGAGGTGGCTCTGTTTACAAAATCCTCGGTTTCGTGTTTCGTCACGTCCCATAGCTGGTTCAAGCAGAGAAGTCGTCCCACATCCCTCTCCAAATGAGTCAGCTATTGCTTATTCTTCCTCCACGATGACGATTCGAACACTTGTGCTTGCATTCTCATGGTCCCTCAGCATCAAGCATTCGAGGTACACCGCGTATCTATGCGCGCGTTGCTCTCGTCGCGAAGCACTTTGTGTAGTGATCAAGTCCATGGATTTACAGTAGAGCCATTAAGCTCGATCCAATGTTTAGAGACCAGATTTTGATTTCAAATCCCTTTCATGACCTTGTCACGAACTGCCATCAGAAAGCGAGGAAGCCCAGGCATGTCGGCATGTTCGCATGACTTGAGGCCACAAGCAAAATCAACCATCCGAGCGCGGCAACGCTGGTATTGATCATTTTTGAATATGCCGTCAAGCAGCATCCACGTTGTGACGAGTGTAGCACGCATTCGGGAGGACTACCATCCGAAGTTGATGCGTCGAGAGTCTGTGATGCATCAGACGCAAGAAGCCGTGGCCACGTCCACGAGTTTCAAGTCGCGCATGATCCAGTTCATCTTTCACAGAGGGAGGCGTGCACCCAACCAGCAACACAAGTCTTGGTCAGGAAAAGTGGAATGCATTCTGAGGTCGGCTCATGGGACTGCAAGCTGCCCGTCCAGCAACGACATCGAACTCCACAACGAACCTGGCCGATGCGTATCACCCGCTTCAACAACTTCCGGGCAGACGCAAGTGAAGCGAAAAGCACGGCGAGGATATGCTGAGGGAGATTCTGGTCGAGCCCAATGGCGTCAGCGACAGACACACTGCGCCAACTGCGAGCGCCTTTTCTTCACGTCTCTCTCATCTCTCAGTAACGCTGCGGGTCGATTTTGCTCGCTGGATTGCAGGACCAATCTGGAGTACATGCACCAGCTCCAGAAAGTGATGGATACGCAGCAGACATGGGAGTGCAGCAGCGACTATAGCGAATCGGGACACAATGAAGAGGCGGAAGAGACAACATTGAAGGGGGTCGATAGTTCGACCGGCAGGTCGTCGCGTACCATTGACAGTCAAGTAGACATTGCAGGGTCACAGGACACCGTAGTAAACACTAGAATTGACGCATGACGGAGTAAGAACATGAAGAGCATTATTTATGAGTGACACGACTACTCGAAGTGAGCCTTAACGATCTCGCTGAATAACTGTACAGGATGAGAGTGAAAGAGTCAAATACGAGAACATGGCGCCGCCCACCGTCACGACGCACATAAGACGGTGAGCGTAGAGACTACGGAGATGTACAATAGTATCACACTTGACTCTTTACGCCTGCCAGACGCGACTTTCAGCACACTTCGTCAACGACTGGAGCAGACGATACAACAAATACGGAATTGTTGGTCACTCGTCCGTCAGCAATTTACCAGTTGAAAGAGTGGTTGCGGCGGAACGGCAATCGCTGCCAAATTTGTGACTACAGCGTCAGCACGCGCGCGTATCGATCGGCATCGATCGAAAATCCATCAAATGGATCATGCAAATGTTGGAGTATTTTGCACCGATGACGAGCTAAAACTAGGACTGACGCCGATGCTACCAAGCGCATGCCATGCGATGTCGTACTCTGATGTTCTCTACAACCTTTCCGCTACTTCCTCGTATCTGCCGTCACTTCGCTTCGTGCTGTTTGTGTACCTCCATTACGTGGCAACGTATCGCAGGAAGAAATCACGAAGTCGGAGCGGAGCAGCTGGAAACACGTGTTGGAGAGAACAGTCTCACACCTGCTGATGCGCCAAACTACTGGCTTTCAACACTTCACAAATCCTCCATCGCTCGCGGGTGACCCTTATCGTCAGTTTGTAACCGTCCAACGTGAAACACAGTCGTAGTACACCATCAACGACGACGCAACATGCCCGACGTTTTTGAAACAAAGCGCCACACGAATGTACAACAACTGTACCCACGTCCAAGGCATGAGAGTGGCGTCCAGATCTCCGGCCAACGATCAGGATCACCATCAGTGCCTGTACATTCCATCCACGCGCTTGGTGCGCGATCGAACATGATTGAGGCTGGTACTTTGGTGTATGCCTCACATGACCGTTCTAGCCATCGTATTTGAGATCAACCGAAAAGAGGTGTTGCTTCTTCCAGTTTGCAGAACGGCTGTAGCGCTAGTATCGTTGTGACTCTAATCACAGGAACTACTGCGAGCAACAACCCACCGTGATGGAAGCTGGTACGTCGCCACCATGAACGAAAAGTCGAGCAGGAAAGCGAAGGGATGTAAGGACACCCAAATTTCTGTCGTAGCTCAAACGCTAGCGCAGTTGCTCACAGGTACCTCAACTTCGGGTTAGTCATCATAGGACATCAGAGAAGGTTGTGTCATTGTAAAGCACTGATAGATTGCTACTCGCTCTAGCGCCATGTGAAACATTGGAAGTAGCTCATTTCGTGTGGACCTGCCACAAATGCTTACATACAACCTCAGTTCAAGTCTCCGATTGAACTGGAAATGGCAAGGTATGAATCTTGATGCGGACGTAAGAGGAGCTCCATCAAGTGCATTCACTCGGATCGTTCTTCGACAGCTGGGGTTTTCTCTTGCATGAACCATCAGCGACAGGACACATACATACGTCCGCCTGTTCTCGGTTTATCCTAAAACCGTCTACTGTTGAAGACATCCTATTGACATCATGAAGCCAG